AACATGTCCTCTTCACCACTGTGGCCCTCAGAGTGTTTGAGTGTCAAGGTGAGGAACAAATGATTTACTTTCACAAATTAGCAATACAGCTTTTGCTGTGGGGCTCCACTTGATATATATGTATATTTATAAAACTTTTTTAGAAGTTGATTTGGGTTCATTTGATATGTAATGAACATGGAGATGGAAAAGAAATGGGAAAAGAAAGGGAGAAAGTAAGAAAAAAAATTTAAAGGGAAAGGAGATGGGAGTAAAGGAGAGAGAGGATAGAGAGACTTTAGAAGTCTGCTTCTACACCTGCAGAAAGAGAGAGAAAAAGAACAGAAGAGAGAAAACAGCGACAAACAATATATCCATATATGATGAGAACAATAAATTCTGTTTTTTCCTCAGGTTATACAACATAACATTTGATGTCGACACATTTAGGTGAAGCAAACAAACAAAAACAGAAGGAACCTCTAAGACGGAACTTACTCTAAATACAGCTTTGAGTCAACGCAACACTAGATTTAAAAACATACACTCATTTTATGGCCCAGGCTGTGAAAACACACCACCTCTCTGCGTCTACAGAACCCCTGTGTGTTTCAACACAAAGCGCTTCCAACACAACAAGCCTTTACAATGCAATTGTCACCAGCCCAGCCCAGTTTCAGACAACTGATGCTATAATGTACCAGAAACGGTATTTGAGCCAAAAAACAAAAACACAAAAAACCCCCAAAACAAAAAAAAAAAAAGGGTTTATTTACTCCATCCACAGGACTAAATTATTTACAGTTTACTGAATTCATCATCAGAGTTTCAATATCACAAAGCAAATGGTTTATTTGTGCCATTGGTTAGACAGGAAGCAGTGGAAATTCAACATACAGACTTTGCTTTCAATGTTCATTCAATACAAAAGTAAATATTAAACCTCTCATGATTCCAGAGTTAGCCTTCTCAAAGTGGATCAAGCAACAGAAAGACGCAGATTCTATGCAAGCAATCATTTTAAACATGACAATGGATATTTTATTTGGTTAGATCGCAATGGGTTCAATATACTTCATAAAAGAAAACGTTATAACTCACTCACTGTTATTTATTCCTTTGAACTGGATGGTTTGAGTAAAAAAAAAAAGAAGTCAAAATTCTTTATGTGAGTGATTGAATGATGTGACGCAAGCATTGTATCACGGAGAAACATTGTTGTGAAACGATTGGAGATTCTTAAAGAGACAGTGGCCAATTTCTAGGTGAAACTAAATTTCTTTAAAGCTGTGTTTGATAAATACAGCATTTTCACAACAACTGAAGGTAAAATTAGTTGCTTGATTGTGATATAAAATGGCACCATGTGGCTGGAAAATACATAAACACCGCGGTTTAAGAACACTTGTTCAAATGTTTGTCAACAAAAATTATGAATCAGCCAATCACATTGCAGGTACTCAACTGTTTGATCACATTATTGCGCAAACTGGAATTATAAAACGAATTTTTCTTAATGGAAATATGTCAACTTCGGGGAAAAAAACTAAACTTATTTTTCGTTAAAAAGGCTTAGTAAATAAATGTATTTTGTACATTTTCCGCAAAACACGAGTCACGGTTTTTAACGACTTCATTGCATGAACAAACTTTAACTTTAATTTAAACTTTTTTTAATGGGAACACCATAATTGTAAAAAAAAAAAAAGGATGGGAGTTCCCAACATTTTTTTTTACATTTGTGATGAAAACGCAGATAATGTTTGCCAGGTGTATCTAATATAATCTCTGTTGATTGTATTGATGTTTCACCTTATCGTCATCAAAATCAGAGGGGAAAAAAACTTGACAATAGCTCATCGAGTGAAGTAGAAACTTTCTATTAAGAACACTACTAGCACACAAATGGACGCTATGGTTGCTCATTGCTTGGGGTGAATATATGAAAAGTAGGTTTGAAAAAAAAAGAAGAAGAACCAAAATTCAAGGCAAAAAATTATGTTCACCAAGAAAGCTACATAAACCGTAATCTGATTTTCTAGGATGTCTGCCTTCTTGAAATAATATCTGAATGCTGCAGCTGACTGACATGAATGATGGCGAGTAAACCTCATGTTCCTGTTTCATCTGCGAGCGGCGGAGGAAAAAACACTCGGCCCTCCAAACAAGCCAAAAACGGCAGCAAATCAGCTGTTTAAATCTTTTCTCCTTTGAAAACGCGGACCACTGGGCGTGTGTCCGTGTGTCGGCGCACACTGCCAGCATTTACACCTTAGAATAGAGCCTGGGTGGGAGACGAGTGGGAGACACACCTTTCCACAACCTCAGGCCAACATTAGGCTGTTTGAGTTTACACTGAATGCACACAGACACCAGCGGCCAGACACAGCGCGCACTGTGCAGCAGCGGGCCGCCCGCGCGCATCTAAAAGGATGCTAACGCAAATAAACCCGGTGACTCTTTTCACTTTTTGATCAGCAGAACACAATCACGGCCCCATGTTCGCAGTTTCTTTAAGTTCCCCTGCCGTATTTAGACGGTATTAATTTAGAATGTTTCCAATCTGAAGTACACTGCAAAACGTTTGAGCATTGGAAAATACTCTGGTCTGTACAAAGGACGTGTTAAAGGAGCGGGATTATGTGAAATCAACAACTTTTTTTGAGCTGTACATCATATTATAAAGTTATTCCCTCGTCAACAACATATTGTTACCTTGATTCTTTCTTAATGCTTGAGAAATTCTTTACTGTCTTGTGGGTGAACCTAGCCCCGCCTTCAAGGACAAAGCTCCTCCTCAGGGCTGCGGCTTCCAAGTTTCCCGGCTCAGAGAAGCACTCAGGTCCTTCAGACTAGCCAGCAGCAATTAGCAAACACATGGTGTGTTTAACCCTGTTAGAGGGTTTATTGAGGAGTGCTGTTGCGATTAGTTTCAGATAGAGCAGTAGTTTTTAAAGACATAGAGACTCAATTTCGAGGCGCTAAATTCCAAAGTCAAATTTCATTTAAACCATTTCTGTTTTGTCTCATGGCGATGCAGAAAAATCGTAGAAAAATTAATTTTGTTAATTGCAAATTAACAAAATTAATTAGTAATTTAGATGCTATGGAATCTTAAGTCAAATTGTGTGGAATTGTGTTTATTATAACCTTATCAACCTGACGACATCCCCATCACAGCCTGAACCCACTCCTGCATGTATGCATTTAAAAATTCTTCTTTGGCTGCTTTTTTTTTTTTTTTTCTCCCACCCTGAAATTCGGGGCAGCTTGCATGACCTCATTAACTGGCTGCGGACTACCCCCCCTGCTCCCCTCCTCCTCGCCTCCCGTTCTCTCCCTCCCTCTCCTCCCAGCATCTAAATGTGTGGTAGCTGCATAGAGCTTCTTTCTGTCCTCCTACACAGGCAGGAGTGAGAGGCCCCTGGAGTCACCGGCACTGGGAGCAGCGGCAGAATATACGGTACGTTTTCCAGTCCAACACACTGGAATATGTGGGTGAGGTTCTGGAAGATGCTTTCGTGACTCTTTGGGAGATTATTTAGGAATTGTTTTCAATCATAAGTTTGATTTTTAATATCAAATACAAATAGTGAGTCAGTTTTGGAAGAGTTTGTCGTTTATAAAGGATTGTTTTTGGTGCCAAAGAGGCAGCTATTCAGCTATTAATCTATAATCAACGATTAGTCATTAGTTTAAATTTGTTGCTATTTTTGTAAAGGGTTTCTATTTCAAGCATCACCTCATTCTCAGTGTTTTTAAAGTTATTCATAGGCCTGGTCAATGTCGGTTTAAAGTAATCTTTGAATTTTACCAACATTGCTTCTGACTGGATGTGATGTTAATGTTTTGACTTGGATCTGACAGAGAATCTATTAAGGGAGCTAAAGGTTATGGTTGGGATGTCAAGGAAGTGTCCAAACCTGGAAAACTTGGGACTCCAAATGTAAATAATCAAAAATATAAGTGAAAACATGTAAAATACTTATTAAATGTTATTAGAATATTTTTTTCATTGACTAGAGAGAAGGATATTAATATATTTATGACATTTTTTCCATTCAAACCTAACTAAAAACACCTAAATTATTAGCATTTAGGTGTTTTTTTAAAGACTGGAGCCTCAAACTGCCCTCCAGGTGTCTTGGAGATGTTTTGTATCCTTTTCCCCTGTCTTCATTTTCCTAGATTGAGTCTTTAGTCATCATCCATAGCAACTGATTCTAGAGCTCATAGATTTGATGACGGTCTTATTTATTTTTCGGCAATGCTGGAAAAAACTGGCAGAGAGCGACATCCCGTCGCCATGGTTACGTTAAACTAGACGCGCACGCGCTGTGAATTGTAATTTCCAGATTTTAACTCTTGAGTTGACAGAGGTTTGGTTGAAGCCAAACCGCCTTTGCTGTTTTATATTCTTCAGATTACACTCATTAGTTTGTAAAGTGACACTCCTGGGTAAACGCGTGACACGTTCGCGGAGCCGCCGGAACACGTCCTTGATCTCTGACGCCGCCGTGTACTATAACACACCTATGGGTGGGTTGGTGTGAGCACGAGGCGTTTCTGCTTTCCGCCCATCTCACTGTACAACAGTCTGTGTGTGCTCCCAAACACAGCTTGTACAGTACGTGTCGGTGGCCCCTGCGTGTGCTCAAACACTTCCAGGCGTTTTTCTTAAAACCAGCGGCTTCAGACGTGAGTTCCTTCACATCCCCTCGACGAGCTATGAGTGCCGCTCTGTGTTTCCTTGTGCGCGCGCATATCAATGTCAGCTCTGTTCTGCTGCTGGGCGAGAGCAGAGTGGGTGGACAGGGGTGGGGTGGGTGCCTGGATGCCCGCCTTGTGTTTACCTTGGCATGGGTCGCACCATCCCGAGGCCCCGCCCCTTTCAACCCCACCGACCGTTCCCTCCTGGAACAGACCGGAGCCTTATGCTGCCCTCCAGGTCGGTCGGGAACAGAACATACCACCGTGGCAAACCTGGGGAGCAGCAGCCACCACGCGCGGCTGAATGGGCGCAGTGTGGAGCGGCAGCTGATTGGCTTGACCTGACCTGCTGGGGAGACCAACTCCCAGATGCTGGACCGTTTCACGCAGTGCGCTCAGTTTAAATGATGCGTTCAAACGCAACATGAGATCCAGAGATTAAGGGCGAAGATAAAGAGGTGAAAGTTTTTGTTGAGTTGGCGACAAAATGTCGGAAGCGTGTGTTGACACAACTTTGCCGATGTTCCACACTAATGTCGAAGAAATACCGTTTCAGAATTGCGGTGATTCCATTATATGAGAAACGCAATTAAATTATGTGAATAAGTTAGTTCACCGAGAAATCATTAATAAAATATGCTGGCTGCCATCATCCTCTTACCACTTCTTCTTCGTGGTTTGCGCCATTGGCAACATCCGGCTGTTGATCGTGTGACTTGTGGGATGCGGGGGGGATGGAGAGGGGGCAAGGGTTTCCATTGCAGTCTTGCAATAAACCAATTCCAATTTTGATGCTACTGAAAAGAAAACCT